CTTTATTTACACTGGATCTAGCTCTATCAGTTCTAAACTGTTCTTCCTAGAGGTCCAAGTAAGAGTCATCTCTTATTGATCCAGTGTTACTACAGGAGGAAACCTAAACAAACTAACTTTATTTACACTGGATAGCTCTATCAGTTCTAAACTGTTCTTCCTAGAGGTCCAGTAAGAGCTACATATTACACCTAGTTAATATTACCAAACAAACTTACTGTTCTTCGAGGTCCAGGATACTCTGTTGAAGATTTCGTTTTTCATCCGTAAGTTTCAACCCCTTATCCTCTTCCTCTTCAACTTTTGCTTCGAGATCTTCCAGAAGCAGCTCAAGCTCGTTCTTTTTCGTGGAGAGACGTTGTCTCATCTCGTCTGCTTCGACGTACGCCTCCTGTGCTTGCTCCAGTTTCTCCGACAACACTTGTTTCTCTTCGCTTATCTGTGCGTGCGTTTGTTCAAGTTCTTTGTACTGTGTCTCAAGTTTATCCAATGTGTCCGAGACTTTCTTGAGTTCGTCTTGATGCTGATGTAATTCTTCTTCTTGACGTGTCACATCCAGCAAAGGTTTCACCTGGAAATATCACAGCTACTTTAGTCAAAGGTCAAGAACGTACGAGGGAACCAGGTAGAGTGATGCAATTAGTGATGCACCGATATCCATATATCGGTGTATCGGTATCGGCTTATCGGTACAAAAATAGAAATATCGGTATCGGTAATTTTGTTGTTGATATTACCGATATTAGAAACCGTTATTAAATATTAATGATTGGTTAAAGTTGCAGTTCAATAGTATATCTTATTGGATTCTTTTGAGCCCAATATGGCAAAATATTAAGTCGAGACTTCAATATTGGGCGAGACCGAAGGTCGAGCCTAATATTGAAGTCGAGACTTAATATTTTGCCATATTGGGCGAAGATGAATCCAATAGGAGTTTTATTATATCGAACAAAACAATTCTATAACAAAAATTGTCAATAAGCGATAAAGTAAATACAGCGAGACTAATACAGCGACAACATTACTACATATATCGGCGGCGAATTTGCTTAAATAACTAAAAAAAAAGTTAATAAACCTGTTTTTACAAATATGTGTGCATAAATAAACTCAATTCCATGTATGTTTAAAGGAAATTCGACCTAATTTTAACGAAAAAAATAATATTACTAACTTCTAGGCTGTTGCAAACAAATAAATTTCGCGAAGACAAGTTTTCCCGCGCTTTTATAATTAAAAAAAAAACTGGTAGAAAAAACTGTATTAATGTCCCAAATTCTTTTCATTATTCTGCCATATCGTTTTTCGTGTGCTTGAAATTGACAAAACATCTGAAAAGGGTTGAAAAACCATGAAAAAAGCCACAATTCGCAACTATCCAATATGTTCCTATCCAATATCGTAAAATATTGGATCGGCACGTGACCCTCTAAACGATTACTGATTGGTTAAGTGCGCGTGAGTGTATAATAATTATTCTTATTACAAATAAACAGTCACTGGCGTAGTAATATGCTAGTTTGTTGCATGCATTTGCATGCATTTGCACATTTCATTTGATATTTTCAGTATTTAGAAACAAATTAATTGAATTAAATTCATAAGTACACATTAAAGCAGAACTGCCATGACGTCATCTTTGAAATTTGTGAAATGACATAGATTAATATATAATCTTCGTTCACTGTACAAAATACACGCACGCCATTGGTCAAAATCGATCACGTGTGTTTTTGTTACCTGGCAACAACGAATTCGGCGAGTGCATTATTGACAATAACGCATAAAAAACGTGCATTATTGAAAATGGCTTCCCGCAAGGCTGTCGGTTCAAGGTTTACACGAGTCAGTGAAAACGAAATTAATCAAATTGTAGATAATGCAATGTCTAAAAGTATAAAAAGCCAAACAAACTGGTGCAACAAGGTAAATAAACGAAGCAAAAACTGACTTTTCACGATTTTGTCGCGTGTAAAATTCCTGCTTAAAAAGTCTAGTCGGGTTTTTCATTGTATTCGCTGTCTTGTTTTAAAAACAGTTGTACGCAATTATTTTGCAATGTACTTAAAATTAGACTATTGGTAAAAACTTATGATGAAAATGTGTTAGTAAATGTTCTTTTCCAAACTGGAATTGCTTTGTTTTAATTTAATTTAATTTAATTTAATTTTGTTTTGTATATTGTTTTGTTTTGTTCTGTTTACAAAAGGCGTACAGTAATTGCATGCAAGCAGTGAACTCAGATAATATATTAAATGGGTTAGAGACTTTAAGTTCGTGTTTTGTTTACAAATACATGCACTTGCTGACTGTACAATGAACTCGAAATTTTCAATACTGCACTCGGCTTCGCCTCGTTCAGTATTGAAAATTTCTCGTTCATTGTACAGTCAGCTCGTGCATGTATTTGTAAACAAAACACTCGCATCAGTCTCTAACCCTTAAATATCGGTTCATCAATATCGGTTATCGCAATATCGGTGAATTTCTATATCAGCGTATCACTAGAAAAAATACATTATTCAACCCTTGAAACTCCAGAAATTTCACTTTCCGAAAACGATAATTCTCAATGTAGGTCAGCACAAATTTTCGAAACAAACAATTTCCAAATAAAAATTTGATTTTATTGTTTATTTTCAACTACATATTTATCAATTTATGAACGGCAATCAATGGCGAATATAACAGCTTTGTGTATACGTGCAAGAGGTCCATACCTTTGTGAAAAGTCGCCACCAAGGCCAGTTTCGTAACTTCAAATAATTCAAACAATTCTTCTGCAAGACTCGGATAGCACTGAGCTGTTGCGTTCTCTTCTCGTAGTTCTTACGTGCCAGATTACCACGACAGAATGCTTGGAATATCGTGATGATTTCTGTCAACTTCGTGTCACGGTCTTCCTCGAGCTTCGCTAGGACGCCAGCGCGGAAGAATATTTTGGACTGACCAACACGGTAACTGTTTTTGTCCAATTCAAGATGATCCAACTGTAAGGATGAGGAAGTAAGATTTAGTGAATTTAGTAAGATTTAATGACGTGATGGTGACGATAGTAATGATGATAATCATGGATGGATCCAGCATGATCTGGTGGGGGTGCTCGGCCAGCTCTGTCTTGCTTGACTGGACTGTATTTGAATTGTAATTGTTGTTCACAGTTCCTTATCATCATGTTATTACTCAGATTGCATGCAAGAACTCTAATGATTTTTGTAACATCATGAAAAACCCCTCTGGCCAGTGCTAGGGGGGTGCACCCTCCCCCCAGTAAATCCATCCCTGATGAAAATGGAAAAGATGACGATAATGGTGACGATGTGATAATCATGGTAAGTAATGATGATGATGATGTTAATGATGATGGTAATGATGATGATAATGGTAATGTGATGATAATCGTGATGATGGTAATGATGATGGTGATGACGACGATGTGATGATAGTATGATTATGATAATCATCACCATCATCACCATTACCATCTCCATAGTACTGATTATGATAATGGTGGTTTGATGGTGACGGTTAACCACAACTTGCTGCCCTGTAATGCTTACTCAAACACATTCAAGAAAAGAAAATTAATATTTACAATTTCATACCATTTGTTGTGCAGCCTTTCTACCGTCCATGAATCCTTTCGGAATTAAATTCGGTGTAAGGATTTCGTATCTAGAAAAATATTTGGTCCAAGTTCTTAGATACGATCTCTATAAGTGCTTTTGATATTTTTCAGTAGTTCAGACACGAACCACGTCAAGCTTATTGTAGAGCACTACCTACAGTGGACTCCCACACAAACTAAGGCAGATTATTGTAGAATACTACCTACACTGGACCACCACGTTTGAGATATCTTTTTCAGGTACAGTAGTTCAGACACAAACCACGACAGGCTTACTGTATTGTAGAATACTACCTACACAATACTACCGTACCTAAATTAGCAATAATTTACAAACACTACCACAAGAAGTTGGTCTTACCGCTGTTTGAATTCTTGAAACGCAATTCTGTTGGGAAAACCTTGACGGCAAATACGGATTCCTTCGAGAACACCATTACACTTCAACTGATCCAGCACCAGATGAGAATCAATTTTACCAGCCTGAAATGAATTTTAGTGAATTTACAAAAGTTAGCACAGCGTATGATATGCGAGTCTCACGTTATCTTCCACTGCATTACTATAGGAATTCTTCAACACGAGAACAGAACTACCAGGGTTTTAGAATTAGTTTGAGTGTTTCTTGAATTACTGACGAAAAACAATGTGGTCTTACCCGTTTCTCGTGATTTGGAATAATACAACGAACAAAGTTTGCATTTGTATTCGATAAAACTTCCATGAGCTTTGAAAGTTGTTCCTGAAAGTAGAAATACAAAAACGTGTTCAATATTTCAACTATTTTCAATAGCCTTTCCTGACTCGCCTTGCATTAAAGTTACAAGTAACTCTCAAAGCAATGTATTGCTCTATCCATTAGGACTACGTCGTCATCTTCCTCAAAAGATTTTTCCAAAGGTAGCTTCACAACCCCGTTTTAGGTTTTGGTGCTTTCTTGCGAAACTATATCACCTGAAACTTTACACCAAAATGGACCAAATGCTGGCCCCCTGCAGAGTGTATGAATGTGTTGCATAAAAGGGCTGAATATAACGCGACGAAAACACACCTTGTATAACTGTCCCACGGTTCTGAACATTCCTTTTCGTACTTTCGAACCAAATGGTGACTCCGAACTGGCAGCAGCTGCCCCAAGGCTGACAAGATTGTCTATAGTTAAGAGAAATCAAACACAAGCAACTGAGTGTTGGTGGCACAGCAACATACAGTATGTGGCCATTAACATAATAAATTATATATGACCAGGATATTGGTGGCTTATACAGACAGAAGATGATGGTCAATGGCAAAAATGTCGACACTTATGGGGCCCTTATCATGCGAAAATTAGGCTACAATCACAATAATTTATTCACAGTATCAAAAACATTTACATGTGAAAAGGAGATAAAGAGGTTATCCCTATACAAATTATCTCCAAAAAGAAAAACAGAAAAAAATTCTAGTTTAATAGTTCAGTTAATAATTATTATTAGTTATAGAAAATGACAGTCCCAGGTGATACTTCAATCTTTGTTTGAAGATCGTCAAGCTTCCAGCTTCAGCAACATGCTTCGGAAGATATGATACCTTTTTTCAGAAAGCGGTATCAATTTCCCGTGCGTAATACAAAATGACTGAAAAACGGCAAACTTCGCAGGCCTATATTATCCGCATTTTACAACATTTCGCAACGAAACTTCGAAATATTACTAATTTTGTGATGCTCTTTCAAGCTGTCTAGACTTGTCTAGATCAAAATTTAGTTCGTTAGGGAATAGGTCCATTAAATTAACTTGGCTTATCCAATGTGCTTGCGTGAATTTAATGCAGGGAATGAATCCTGATTGTGCTTGCGTGAATTTAACGCAGAGAATGAATCATGATTGTGTTTGCGTGAAATTAATGCAGAGAATGAATCATGACTATGTTTGAACTGTGAAGAATACTAACCAGTATCTTTCCACAATCCACTGACAAAAGTATCGCTAGAATTCTGGAACAGACTGACTACGTTGTCATTGAGTGGATCCATGTTTTTCATCAACCATTTCCCTGCATTGTAGTCAACCTAGACGTAGAATATAACGCGAGAGTAAAACAATCAGCATACACTTATAATACACATGCCATAACCACACTGGTGCCGTGTTAGTGTCACTTCCAAGGGGCGTGCTGACCAGGGAGAGACGAGAACTCCTTGTAAATTGAAAATTCATTATACATAATGTCAGGAAAATGTTTTTATATACAGTACAATGTGCGGAAAAATTATTTTTGACTGCTCGCGACGGCTTGTTGGGGGGTTTCGTAGATGGAAATTATCGAGTGGAAATTCTATATTTAACAAATATAAAACATTTTCCGTGTTGATATA